CCTTAGAAGAATTTTTTTCAACTCCCACATTCCTAAATATAAGTGTTTACATTGAAATCTATTTTCAGAACTTTAAGGGACCAAGATCATTAATGAAAAAAGATAGGAAATCAGTAATGAAGGAGAATAGGAAAGTCATATGTCAAAAAAGAAATATTCAACAAATCATAAGAAAAATATTCAATGGTAGAAATAATCTTGAGAACCAAAGTAAAAGCTCCTAGTTTGAAAATGGGGCTATAGTCAGATACAGACTCAGAAGTTACCACGGAATTCCTATTCTCTAAGAATAACTTTGAGTAGGAGGAAAAAAAGGTATACGACATCACCCTGGATCAACAGAAATTATGATTAGCATGGAAACATGAAAATGTCTAGGGCCATTGTATATCTACACACATAGGATTGTGACATAGTATAAATAAGAAATTTGCTGATAAATCAGTTAATGAATATTTACTTATAATATTATTATTAATTAATACTAATATTAATTCATCTGCTCAAGCTCACTATATTCAGCCAGAAAATGGTCTAAGCTATATTCTTTTCCTTGAAGATTTCCAGATATAAAAATATCAAATTTTTAGCTGCTCAGTTCAGGGTTGTATTATCACAAAGGCTTCCTTAAGTCCAATTAAAATACCACTGCAATTAAATTCATTCTTTTTGTTCAATTCTTAGTATGTATGAATTACACTTGCCCAAAATTTTCCCCAAAAAACATTTCCTAGACAACTGTTACTCTTTAAAGGCTATTTTTGAGAATATAGACTTTTAAATGTTTTAATGATTTTCAACATTTTTCAATCTAATAAGCCCATTTTTTTCTTTTATATTATTCTGAGCCTACTTTCTCCACATTTTTTGAAGTGAAAATATTGAAGTAGCAAGGAAAGGCCATTTTCTATCTTTGTGATTGCTTTTAAAATTGGTAACAATCTGACATGTTCAGCGGGTAGTCTACCAGGAGCCACAGGCCTTTTTCTTTGCTGTGTTAGGCTGGGCATAGTGGCTCAAGCCTGTAATCCTAGCACTTTGGGAGGCCAAGGCAGGAGGATTGCTTGAGGCCAGGAGTTGGAGACCAACCTGAGCAACACAGCAAGACATCATCTCTGAAAAAATAGAAAAATTAGCTGGGCATGGTGGTGTGTGCCTATTGTCCGAGCTACTTGGAAGGCTGATGCATGAGAATCGCTTGAGCCCAAAGTTTGAGATTGCAGAGAGCTATGATGACGCCACTGGACCCTAGGCCAGGCAACAGAGCAAGACCTTGTCTCAATCAATCAATCAACCAATCAAAAACTAAAATAAAAATCTGTTATGCTGTATCAATCCTTTCATACCATACATTTAAAATCCTGAAGATCTTACCAAATAGCACTGTCACTTATAAGCTATTTCCATTGTGTCAAAATAATTCAGAATTCTATTTCTAGATGTCATCATATTACATAATCTAAGTTTGGTATCTTCCACAAGAGTAATGAGGATATTTTCAATTGATTCACTTAAGTAATCAGAAAATATAATAAACAAAGCAGGATCCTTAAGGACAAGGATACTAAGTATTCAATCTAGACGTAAATTCAGAAGAATGAGTGTTTTAGATTGAACCATATGAAACTGCCATAACTTAAAATCAGTTAAGTATCAACATTTTCATGTAATTCAACCTCACAGTAAAAAAACACAGTATACGGAAGTTAACTGCTCAACCTAGATTTCTTGCTCATTCCACTAAGTTGAGACTCCAGAAAAATAAAAAGGGGAAATCCCTAAGGAGCTAAATTATAGGTTTAAATTTATAAAAATATTAATCAAGAAATTACATTTCATCTATCTACAAAGTTACTTTATAATCACCATAACTAAAGTTAGTTTTCAAATTCTTTTGGTTTTTTGGCCTCTTATTCCAAAACATCTTTCATCCCATTATTCTCATTGCATTGCCACTATCTCAGTTACCATCTCTAATACTGGTGAGTAAAATAATCTCTCTGCTAATCTTGCTACATCATTTTTGTCCTTCTCAGTAGTGTCAAACATGAGTTCCACACTACTGATTGTAAATCTAACACAATGGCAATCTGAGCACATCATTTCCTCATTCAAAATTATTTAATTTTCATCACCAATAGAAAAAAAATCTAAACTTGCTAACAACATATTAACTTCTAAATCTGGCCACTATCTCTCCCAAGCCTAATATCATCATACAATTTTCTTATGTCCTCTATTGCTGAAACATACCTACCTTTGGTTTTTGCAAAAAAATTTGCTCTACCCACTGTAAGTACTGTCTTTACTATAACAACAACAATTTAATTATTCTTCTTGATTCCTGAGACCGTTTTCTATATGCTTCATCAGTTTCCTTGAGGATTTATAGCAGCTTTCTCCATTTATTCCCTTCTTAAGTGTAAGATCTGCTATATTTATTCAAACATTCCATCATCAGGCATTATTCTAGGATGAACAACTATGCTCCATTAAAGTCTAATAATGATACTAATATTATAATCATACCTTATTCCATTTCTTTGATCAAATGCTGGTATCATTGAGGCTGGGTGTTCTGACATTAAAGCCACTAGTAACTGTAACACATCATGAATATTTTCATCCTGCATAATAAGGATCACCAATATTTATTTAGTTAAAATCTTATTCTAAAGCTTGGAATCAAATAATTAAAACAGAAGACCATAACATGTCCTACCTCATGCATTGTAAGTAGGTAATTTAATATACTCTGAAGTTCATCTTCCTTGACACCTCGATCCTAATTTTTAAAAAATATTTTATTACTTACTT